GCTGGCTGAGGAATTCTGGGAGTTGAAGTCCACAAGTCTTAAAGTTGCCAAGGTTGGACACCCCTGGTGTAAGAGCTTCTATTTCATGTTATATATGTGAATCAAACTGGGTAAACAGTCCAGGAAAATTCTCTGAAATCATTTCATTTTTTTCTACTATTGCAGGAGTTCTTGACAGAGGCCTTACCTGTGGGATTGATTGGAATGAACTGTACTCTGATGAAACAGTATATTGAATTTGTGGCTGATAGGCTGCTCCTGGAACTGGGTTTCCCTAAGGTAAAGTAATTTACCTTAAAGTATACACATATTTATGTATTTGAAGAGATTGAGAATTTTCATGTCTTGTTTAAAAATGCAAACGGATAGGGAAATGTGATAGAACAGGTGATGTTTGAAAAAAGATGTGAATATACCGGTAGAGAGCAAAGTGGAAAGATGTGTCAATCTTTACAGAACTGAGGGCTTTTAGAAAACTTGAAATGTCTTGGCTTTCTCCTGGTCATCCTTATCAGTCAAAGAGGAAGAAACCAAAGCGGGCGGGGGAATGGAAATACTCCCTAGCAATCACCAAAGAACGATTTGTCCTTGCAGTGCCTCATTCAGTTCCTATGTTTTATTAATATCTTTGGTGTTCTCAGGTCTTTCAAGCAGAAAACCCTTTTGACTTCATGGAGAACATTTCCCTGGAAGGAAAAACCAATTTCTTTGAGAGGAGGGTTTCAGAATATCAACATTTTGCAGTTATGTCCCAAGCAAATAATAAGATATTTACTTTAGATGCTGATTTTTGATGCTGCCTACTTGGGAGATTGACAAAGCCACACTACACATTCACCTTCAATGACAAGAAACATCTTACAAGCCAAGTAGGGTATTCTTGGAATGTTTTATTAACTATTAATAGTTGATAGAAAAATTTCTACCGTGTTTCTCCAACAATACAACCTCCCCCAATAGGAAGACCCAGCATGTTTTCTAGGCATAAAATGAAATTTAGGCCTATTTTAAAACATGCAAAATGGGGGGAAGGGTGGGGGGACTTGCCGTTAGGAGCGCCCCGTGGGCAGCAATTCCTCGCCACCAGCTGCTCCTAATGGGCGATCATGGCAGAGCGCGGAGAGCTCCCTACTCCTGCCAAGCACCTTTGTGGCAGACCCAAGACCTTCAGCGCCCGCCGCTGTTGATTTCCCTTCTGCCCATGCCACCGCCGCGTTTGGAGCTGCCACTTCCACGTTTGGAGCACCACTGCTGTTTGGAGCACCGCTGCCGTTTGGAGCTGCCGCTTCTGCATTTGAAGCTGCCGCTTCCACGTTTGGAGCGCTGCCGCTGTTTGGAGCACTGCTGCTGTTCGGAGCTGCCGCTTCTGCATTTGGATCTGCCGCCGCGTTTGGAGCTGCCGCTTCTACGTTTGGAACCCCACTGCTGTTAGGAGCACTGCCGCTGTTTGGAGTTGCCATGTCCGCATTTGGAGCTGCCGCCGCGTTTGGAGCTGCTGCTTCCGCGTTTGGAGCACTGCTGCTGTTTGGAGCACCACCGCCATTTGGAGCGCCGCCGCCACTCCAAACACAGTGGCAGCTCCAAACACGGAAGTGGCAGCTCCAAACATGACGGCGGTGCTCCAAATGGCGGCGACACTCCAAATGGCAGCGGCACTCCAAACACGGAAGCGGCAGCTCCAGATATGGCAGCGGTGCTCCAAATGGCAACGGCACTCCAAATGGCAGCGGCACTCCAAACACGGAAGCGGCAGCTCCAAACGTGGCGGCGGAATGGGCAGAAGGGAAAGCAACAGCGGAGGTGCCAAAGGTCTTGGGTCTGCAGCAAAGGTGTTTGGTGGGAGTAGGGAGCTCTCTGCGCTTCGCCATGATCACCCGTTAGGAGCGGCTGGTGGCGAGGCTGCCGGTGGGGCGCTCTAAATGAGGATGCAAGGGGGGGAATTAAGTCACCCCCGAAAAGAGCCTAGCCGTTTTTTCGGGGCTCAAAAAAATATAAGACCAGGCCTTATTTTATGAGAAACACGGTACAAATAGGTTACAAGTCGTGTGCATATATACACTCTTAACAACAATTAATTCTATAACATCATACAACTTTTCTAAAACTATATTGTGGCATTTAGGACGAAGTTCAGCTGCTGATGCTTTTGATAAAATCCAATCCCATCATTAAGAGTGAAAAGCTTTTATGAGGATAATGATTACGCTATATAACATTCCTTCTTACCTCAGTTCTTGAACTGAACTGAGTTGAAAGACATACTTATTTTTCTTAAAGGAATGTTCCAGCATAAAGTCTTGGATAGGAGACCATCAGAGAAACTTAAGACTGCAAACTAGATTTGAAAAACATTCTAGGCAATAGAAAACCACCTCTGTGTTGTTTCAAGGATCGCAATATGGACATGGCCACGTAATCAGGTATCGAAATTGACTCGGTGGAGACTGTTTTTATGCAAAAGAAAACTGTACTTGGGAAAATGAAGACGATGACATGAGCACTTTATAATCTTTTATCATTCATTTTGGTTAGTCAAATCAACACAATGTCTGAAATAATGTGTTTTGGAAGGATTTTTCATTTGGCCTCAAAACTTCATTTTGGCCATAAACTTGACTGCAGCAACCCACCTAACATAGAACTTGATCACCTTACATAAAAGTCTGGCTTATTCAGCATGATGAACCAACATAGCTTGTCCTTGTTATGCAAATATAGCTGTTTTCTCAACAAATCAGTGCTTAAAGTAATGTGTGAACAGTATCTGTGTTTATATGATATACTGATATACTGATATATATATACTGATCCAAAAGCTATCCAGGGCATTTTAAGCTATTGCCCGAACCCAGACTTTATAATTTGTTTTTGGTGTGTCATGCAAACTTAGAAAATAGGTATAATTTAATAATTTATGCATAATGATATCATATGAACTTAGCTTCAATGTATGAAGTGGGATAATATTTAAGCTACTTTATTTAGTATGTGAGCAATGAAGAACAGATAACTTGGCAACAAAAGCATATATTTAAAAAGAGAAAAACAGTATAGAGGTAATTGACTAAACTGAAGCTTCCTTTGTGAAATATCACAGCTAATGTTTATGTGGAAAAGCCAGTTTTGTTAAGGTTTCTGTATGGGCATCCAGTAAAGGGGACTGAGTAAGGCAGAGGCAGAGATAATTTAACAATGCTCATGATCTGGGTGTTACCCTAAAAGAGGACCTGACCTGGGGTACCCACATTGTAGCCCTGGTCAAAAGGGCTCAGCAGAGATTATACTACCTGAGGCTTCTCAGAAAACAACAACTGAATGAAAAACTGCTGGTGACCTTCTACCGCTGCACCATAGCGAGCATTTTAACATACTGCACCTCTGTATGGTTTGCCAATTGCACAGTGGCAGATAGGAAAGCACTTCAGAGGGTTAATGTCATTGCCCAGAAGATCATTGGTTGCCCTCTCCCCTCTTTGGAAGAGCTTTATAGCTCCCGCTGCCTTAAGAAAGTTCAAAACATTCTCAAAGATCCATCTCATCCTGGGAACCCTTTTTTTTTTGAACTATTACCATCTGGCAGACGGTACAGAATAATAAAAACAAGGACAAATAGGCTGAAAAACAGCTTCTATCCCAGGGCAGTAGCTCTTTTGAATTCTACTGTATAGGGCAGTGTTGGTGTGGTGTCGGGGGTTTTCGGTTCAATGTGTGAAGGGTGAAGGATGTGTGTTTGTGTTTATTTTTATGGTCATGGTCATGATGTGCACTGAAGATGGTGTTTGATTTTGTTGTACAAGGTGCAATGACAATAAAGTAAACTAACTATATCATTGTTTTTTTCTTCTGGAAGTTTGCATTAGTAACTTCTAAATACCTTGGACTTCAACTCCCATAATCTTTGGGTTATGAAACAGTTTTATTCATAATTGTTCCAATCCAAATAGAAGCACAATTTAAGGATCAAATATATCACAGGGATGAAATAAATCACACCCTAATATTGCCAGGAATTGATGAGGGTTTGACACATTGTGCTAAACCATTGTAAGGTTTGTGATGTGTGATCAGATTGTGGGGTACAGATTAAAAGTCTAGTGTCTTATCTGAAGCTGAAGTAGTTGCAAAATTGCTTTTTCAGGAACTGTAATATAAAAATGAAATTTAGAAAGTCAGTGACTGATGAACTCAGTAAGTTTTACCTTAGAGTAAATATGTATGTAATTGTACTAGTTTGATGTTTATAAAGCTTTCTGTTTTGGTGCAGGCAAATTTCTGGCCCACTTCAAGGAAATAAATGAGATATTTTGTTGGATGTATTTTGAAGCTTTTTCAAATAGTCCTGTTTCATGTATAAGACTCTGATTTAGTCATTTTATTAATGGCTTAAAACTTGTATTAAGTCTTGTAAAATCTTTTTAATTGAGTGTATTTTTTTTCGCCAGTAAAGTGTCATAAATACATGACATACATGACATTAGAATGGACAATGTAAAGAATTCTTTTTTTAAAAAAAAACAGTGAGTTTGTCACTCATACGTTTTGGAAAAAAATACAAAATAATTTAAATAAAAATTGTGAGAACAAATTATGTTTTTCCTTGTGTGAGTTTTCTGTTTGGACCCTTTGAGGATAACCATGCCACAATTTACACAAAACTCTTAACCAGACTGAAAAGCTAGGCATGGAAACATACTCTCTGAACCCAAATTCAAACCCCTAAGATGCCAGAGACAGTAAAAGTTAGGGATACGCAAAATGTCTCAAATTCATGTTGACCTTGTAATGTTTTTTTTCTCAAGTTTGCAAAAACGAAACAGCTGTTTTGTGTCAAAGGGGCTGGTTTAATCATTTTGGAAGTATCCCAGGATTTTGAATATGGAACAGCTGTTGATGTACAAAATACTTCCAAAATGATTGGGAGAGTCCAAGTGGTGCCCAGAATAGCTGTTTTGCACTCAAAATGGGCAATTTGAACATGCATTTGAAATTATTTGCACGCCCTATTAACCAGTGCTGGTATGCTACCGGTTTGGACTGGTTCAGCTGAACCAGTAGTAAAAAAAAAAAAAAAAGGCCTCTGAGGATCAGCTGAGAGGAGGAAAAAAAGGACAATCAGCTAAGAGGAGAAAGAAGAAGAAAGCGCAGGATCAGCCCTCCCAACCGCCCCTGCGCTTTTCTCTTCTTTATCTTCTCAGCTAATTGGCGCTGCAGGCCTCAACTGGTGTGGGGAAAGCACGTGCGCGATCACCAAACCAGTAGTGGAACAGGTAGATCCCACTGCTGCTATTAACCCTGAAATAGAAATTAGCCAATCTTTTTTTTTTTTTTTGCCAAGCAACCAGGTTAATTCAGCAAGCATGGTAAAGTTCGCACAGTGTTCTAAACACAGTCTAATTATGCTGCCTGAGTTTAACTAGCCTGAAGCCAAAAATATAGTTGGTTAGTTCCTGCAGTATAAGTGTTAAAAACAGTGCAGGGTCAAATATAGAGATAGCACATTGGTGAATTCACTCAAACGTCAATAAACAACCTTTCAAGTGAGGTCACAAATTGTCTGATTGAGAGTCTGACAGGAAAACTTATTAGTGATTTTCTAGATTGAACATTGCAGGGAATGTTAATTCCAGAAAGCAGAAGCTGTGATAGCGAAGTCCCACAAGATGGCGGGTTGTGGGATAGGACTCAGAGCACACCTGTCCTACCAATTCTTACCGGTTTGGTAGAAATGGTTGGAGATAGATGTCTGAGAGGGAGCCAAGAACCCCAAAGGGGTACCTGAAAACCGATGTAACCAATGTAGTTTGTGAAGTAGCACTACTCCATTTTCTTCGGTACAGATCTGATATCAAAACTCTTATTATTCAATTTAAAAAGTTTGGGAACTTAAAATGGCAAGAAAGGCAAGAGAAATAAAACTATG